CGCCTCCTCCGCCTCCACTGCCGCCACTAGCGCCCCCACCCCCGCCACCACTCCCACCGCCACCCCCACCCCCTCCTCCGCCTCCACCGCCGCCTCCACCGCCCCCTCCAGCTCCTCCAGCGCCCTTGCCCCCCTTGCCCTTGCCTGAGCGGCGTCTCCCGCTAGGGGCAGACGCCGCGCCGACCGACTCAAGACCAACGAGGTCGGCCGCAGCAGCAGAGGCAACAGAGGGCAAGAGGGGGGAGGGGGAGCACCCCTCAAAGACAAGGGTACGAGGGTCACCACGAGAGGCTCCTACAGCGACTATACTCTTCTCTGCTGCTAGGAGGCGCTCCTCGAGGAGGTCAACGGTAAGAGTGGTGGGGCAAACAGAGAGGAAGTGGTCCCTGACCGAGCGAAGGGTGTCAGGGAGCCGGGTGACTATGTAGTAAAGGGTGATGTACATGTCAGCGCGGTAGCGAATGTCACTAGTGCGAAGGTGCGTAATGAGGTCAGCGACTGTGGGAAAAGCGGCGAGGTCAGGGAAGAGGTACGGAAGTATGAGGCGGCTAAGGGCAGCAGTGGCAGGGGAAGAGTAGCTTGCAACTACAGCGTCGTAGAAGGTCTTAGCACTCTTGTACTGACTAAAATGCGCGCGCTCAGCGGTCGGTAAGTGGCGGCGCACAGCAAGGCGGGCAGCAGCATCGCGCGTGGCCCACTGTGAGCGAACAGTGGCGTCAGCATCAGCAGCAGGGGCAGGAGAGGCACCAGAAGTGAGGTCAAACAGGGAGAGACCGCCTGCCCTATCGCACTGTAGGAAAAGCTGCAGATCATCTACCCAGACCTCAAAGTCAACAGCCCGACCCTCGGCGTCAAAGGTGAGAACACTGGGGGTGGCCATGACAGCAGCAGACAGGCAGTGAGTACAGCGGGGTAGGGCAGTGCAGTGGCAGAGGCGTTGCGCTTACCAGGCAAGTGAGGCGGTCCGGGGCAGGCCGGCAGGGACAGGGCCGCTACTGAAGTGACGGCAGCGTCTCGGCTGCGGCGCCTCGGCGGCTCGGCGGCTCGGCGGCTCGGCGGCAAAGGCGGCTCGGCGGCAAAGGCGGCTCGGCGGCTTAGCGGCTCAGCAGCGAAGGCGGCTCGGCGGGGCCGTGAAGGGCGGCGTCGCTGCCGCGAAGGAGCGGCGACGGGGCCGCTGAAGGGCGGCGACGAGGCCGCCGAAAGGGGCGGCGACGAGGTCGAGTAGGGGCGGCGACGGGGCCGCGGAAAGGGGCGGCGACGGGGCCGCGGAAAGGGGCGGCGACGGGGCCGCGGAAAGGGGGCGGCGACGGGGCCGCTGAAGGGCGGCGACGAAGCCGCTAAGAGGCGGCGACGGGGCCGCTGAAAGGGCGGCGACTGGGCCGCTGAAGGGCGGCGACGAAGTCGCTAAGAGGCGGCGACGGGGCCGCTGAAAGGGCGGCGACGGGGCCGCTGAGAGGGCGGCGACGGGGCCGCTGAAAGGGCGGCGACGGGGCCGCTGAAAAGGGGCGGCGACGGGGCCGCTGAAAGGGCGGCGACGGGGCCGCTGAAAGGGGGAGGCGGCGACGGGGCCGGAAGGGGCGGCGACGGGGCCGTCAAGGGCGGCAACGAGGCCGGTAGGGGCGGCGACTGGGCCGTCAAGGGCGGCAACGAGGCCGGCAGAGGCGGCGACGGGGCCGCTAAGGGCGGCGCGACGGGCCGCTAAGGAGGGCGCGACGGGGCCGCTAAGGAGTGCGCGACGAGGCCGCTAAGGAGGGCGCGACGGGGCCGCCAAGGAGGGAACACTAGGCGCGCCTCGGGCAGGGGAGAACGCGCGCCCCGGGCAGGAAAAAAAATTCGATCTTGGTTGGCCCTAGGACAGTTCCCACTGGGGAACCTGCTCGATACCATGAGAAACTTAGAACGAGAATGAATGAACTAAGTAATGAAAGTGATACAAATATGAAACCCTAGAATTGTGTACCCCTTAGTATCTAACCCGCTACAGCCTACACATGTTAGATCATATAAGTTTGACACGTCGAGCTCGGGCTGTGTCAGTCTGAACTGGCGCTGTACAGTTGGCTGTGCCCCCGGTTCTAATTCTATTCGGTGGTCATGTGCTCGCTGAGGTGGCAGCCCTTCTGGTAAGTCGTCGGGAAAAATTCCGGGGTATCGTTTCAACAGTTCCTGTAGTTCGGGCGGTACGGCTGCCAGTAGTTTCTTGAAATCACTCGGCTGCTCTGCTTCCTCTACCACTGCAATGTCCACTGCGTACACGTCAGCTCCAGCAGCGACAGCCCGTTTCATGGTGACGGCATTGACGTGTACCGTTGAAGACTCGGGCGACTGCCAGCGAGGTAGCTCGACCCAGTTACCGCTACTTCGCACAGTGCAGCTACCCGTCGTCCAGTCAATTCGCGGGTTATACCGTCGTAGCCAATCACGTCCCAGTAAAATGTCGTGCCCATCGAGTGTCGTCGCGAGCATTTACTGTGTAAATCCGAAATTCCCCCCGCAGCGGACTTTGACTCTCTCCACCTTCTCCCGTATGGCCAGTGGCGTGCCGTCAACTAAGCGTGCGTCTATCTCAGGTAAACAACGGCTAAGTGTCCGTTGCAGTTTTCGTGCGGTTGCGGTATTAACTAAACTGTGGCTTGCTCCTCCGTCGATAAAAATCTTCACTGCTGCTCCCTGTATTTTCCCGTGGATCAGTACTGGGCAATCCGTCGCTGTACCCTCCTTATTCGTCCGAGCCCGATCGATAGCATGAATCGGTACTGTGACTCGGTGAGGGTCGGTGGGGTTGGGCGAGCAGGCAATCTCGTCAGTAGTTGGCCCGACTCCTACTGACTGCTGGCGTTTCCCTGCCTTGGAGACTCCCTCCCCTGCTCTGCTCCGCGGCGCCTTAGCTCCTCTGGGCATTCACTCTTGCTATGGCCCGGCCTATTGCAAGCAAAGCAGCGCCCCTTAAATGGCGCGGCAGCTGCATTCGTCGCAATGGCATGTACAGTGGCGTGCTCGATCGGTCCCCGAGGACGATGTCCGTAGTAGGACCCCGGTCTCGGACGGCGTAAAATGTCGATTTTCTCGGCGAGCGCGAGAATCTCGTTGAAGTTCGAGAGTCCGCGTAGCATGATCTCGTGCGAGATGTCCGGCTTCAGCCCTCCGACGTAACGGTCCACCCGCTCAGCTTCGTGCATGTAGCCGACCTGCTCGCATAATGCGAGAAAACCACTCGTATAGTCTTGAACCGATCCGAGCTGCCGCCAAGTACGCAGTCTCTGACGCGCTGAAATAGAAGTTGCGATTGGCTCGAAACGCGCCCGAAGCCCTGCGCACCACGCATCCCACGTGCTGTACTGGGCGGTCTCGCAGAATGAACTCCAGGTGACAGCTGGACCCGTGGGCCCTTCCTCTTGCGACGGTGGCTCGTAGGCGCGTGGCGACGTCACAATGACTCGCCACCAGTCCATGGCGGGGCCCCTCAACAGCGAAACGGCATACCGGATCTTCGCTGCGTCCGACTCGACGTAATTTGCGTCGAAAAAGACATTCATCGTGAAGACCCACGATTGAACTGTCGGACCTCCACATTGGCTTGGGTCGAAGCAGGGCGGGCGTTGCGGCTTGAGTGGCATTGGTGCCATGATGGCCTGTTCTCCTCTTGTAGCCGCGAATTCCACGTGCCGACGGGCTTCGCGAGGCTCCCGCGGGCTGGGTACGACCCTGTTTCCTCCCATGCCAGGCATCGGCTGGGCGGCGCCATCACTAGCTGCACCTGAGCGATGTCCCACGCTGTTGTTTTGTGTTGGTGTGCCGGACGTAATGACGATCGGCTCGTCCGATTGTGCATATGCATTTGTCGGTGCGTGTGGTGGTGCGGGAGTGTTCACCGTTGATTGCTGACGCGCGGAGTCACGTTCCGCCGTGAGCGTCGCGATTTCGAGCGCCGAATCTTCAAGTTGGCGCACCAGGCGGTCGAGCTGCTCCTGCGTCAATGTTGCGAGCGTGAATTCGGCCATGGCGGGGGTGTCGGGCAAGCTCAGCGAGAGCCTCTGTCGTGGCCGTGCGTGCTTCCGAGAGAGCACTTCGAGCGGTGGTGATGTGCCGCTGAGAGACGTCTACCCCCTCCAAAAATTGAGATAGTGAGGAAGCGAAGGTGTGGGTGCGGTCCGAGAAGAGATCGTAGGCTCTGAATACCAAGTGTTACGAGTGCAATTGAGCGAGCGAGCTAGAATTGCACTATCGAAGCAAGAGTACAATGAGCGAAGGCATGAGCGAAGAATATATAGCGAAACTACAGTGGTAACGGTAATGGACTGTGGTTGTCGCGTGACGGGCCTGGGACTGAGGTTGGGAAAAGTGTCGAAGCGGAGGCCCGGAGCGCGGGTTACCCGCCGAAGCCGTGAGGTCGGGGTGCGACGTGCGAAGGTGGCGGGAGGATTGTCGATGCGAGAGTTGCGAGTGGTAACGGTGCTGACTGTGGTACTACAGTGGTGTACGCGCTGAGCGGGGACGCGAAGTAAGGAAAAGGAATTTTCCTTACACTAGGCCTTATAAAACGGTCACAATTATAACTTGCGAATGAGATCATCGTTGATTCCGTCGTCGCAACCGGGACTTCTTGTGGTACGTACAAATTCCACCTGTTGTGCCTTCTCTCGACTTTTCGACAGCGTGTGACTGGCCGTCGTCCCCTCTGTCTGTCTCCGTCTCCCTTCCGTCACATCTCTGGTGCACTTCAGACAGACAGGATTTCCTTCATTTCATGCTCCCAGACAGCCCCAAACCAAACTCTATCCAAGTGAAAAGCTATTCCACAGTAGCATAGCCTCTCAAACGGAACATTAGTGCCCTAGATTTCAAGCTCGTAGCTGCTGGTCAGGCGATTTTCCCTGTTTTGGGTTTCCCGCATCGTTGGCAAGTGTTAAGCATCGAAGCTTGCCCTAGAAGGCGTGCTTTCTTAGAGCGCGTGTGTCTGCTGATAGCAACTTTAGGGTTTCTGGAGCAGTTGAAACAGGATGGCTGCTGTTGCAGCGAACAGCAATCTTCCGAGAAGAATAATCAAGGTAGGAATACAGTGGCGATTGCTTGACACGTTTATCTCAGTGCCATTATTATAATAGTTCTTACATCATTATTCGTTTTGCCATGTTGTCTTCAGGAAACTCAACGACTGTTGAGCGAGCCTGGTACGTGATCGCTATGATGTCGCTTTCACATCGCTTTCGGTTTACTTGTTAGGCGTCCGTCTTCTCGGCTTGCCTGAATTTCTGACGGATGTACTCCACGTGGCTGCAGCTCCGGGTATCAGTGCATCACCTTCGGAAGAAAACCTTCGTTATTTCAATGTGATGATATTGGGGCCGTCTCAGTCTCCTTATGAGGGTAAGCCGCTGCGTAGTCAAGTCCGTCTCTACTTAGATAGCAGTGCTTCAAAACTTTCATCTGAGTCGTCGTGGGGCTGTCGCAGGTGGAATCTTCAAGCTCGAGTTGTTCCTACCCGAAGAGTATCCTATGGCCCCTCCGAAGGTATCTTTGATCTTCTTTCGCCTTGTAGATAGCTTGCAGTTTTGATTGCTAATGCGCCTGTGAGAGTCGGAATTCTGCAGGTTCGTTTTCTCACAAGAATCTACCATCCAAATATCGATAAGGTACAACCTGCTGGTTACATGGAGCAAGAGCATCCGTTCATTACATGCATGGAAAACTCATACCCTGTCGTCCGTCCTTCCACAACAGCTTGGCCGCATCTGCTTGGATATTTTGAAGGACAAGTGGAGTCCAGCTCTTCAGATTCGAACAGTTCTGTTAAGGTGAGATGTCTCTTTCAGCTGACGAGCATGTAGCACAACCCTTTCTTTCTCGGATGCTGGTTGCTGAAGGTGCTATTTATTCGACTATGCAGTATCCAGGCTCTGCTGAGTGCCCCAAACCCTGATGATCCGCTGGCTGACAATGTTGCTAAGCACTGGAAGTCAAACGAAGCAGAGGCAGTTGCAACAGGTAATTAGTCGTTTTCATGTGTTGCCTGCGTAGTATTTGCGTTCCCGTTTCTAACTTGTACTTGTGTTTGACCTGCTACCTAACTTGCAGCTAAGGAATGGACACAATTGTATGCCACGGGAGCCTGACGGCTAGAAGTTAGTGAATATTGCAAGCCATTGAGCATGTCAGCAACAGTGGGGTCAAATCTTCTCATACATGTACACTTCTGGAGGCAAGGATAAATTAGAGTTAGTATTTACTGACAGGGACGTAGATTATATTAGAGACTAGAAGTGGAATTTCCACGTAAATTCGTACCAAAATCAAAGGCACATTGCACATGTTTGACAAGTGAAAATATATTGTCGCGCGGAAAACATGGACCCATTCACAAAACTGGTATACTTGGGGTACAGACCGCTTGAAGTGTACTGTACAAGCTGTAAATCTTATCACAACTACCATATCAAGCTGTACAAATGTACAAAGCAACTAGTGGATGACAACCTTTTTCCCCACCACCTCCCCTCCTCTCAACTGTTGGGCTGAAAAACCCTTAGGATCTTTGCAGGGGTGAACTCTGGGTAGAGTTGGTGTAGTAGCGGAAGCGTTAATTAAAGAGTTGTGAACCACCTTGCGCTAGTATGTGAGGGCAAAGTAAGTTGATTAAAACAAAGAGATACAAGCTTTTATAAGAGTACAAGGAATACGAAGAGATACAGTTAATAACCGTTTTACTATTGCTGTTGCGGTTCGATACAGTGACGACTCGGGCAACTGCTCAATACCGAGTCAGTTGTTTGTCCTTGCTGTCGCGCTGTACTTTGTCAGGTCAAAGGTCGCTGACCTTTGACTTTCGCGTAACCTCCAACAGTTACTTTCAACCTCCGAGGGTTGACTCGCCGGTGATTCGTTATACTTCGTTTCTTTTGTGTCTTAGTGTTTCGACACGACAGAGGCGCTTAGGACCGATTGTTTCCAACACTCCCCTTCGCTTCTGGAGTGTCGCTGACGTGGCTCTGTCCAGTCAGCAGCATGCAGTATTCGAACTTCTGCTTTCCGAGCTTCTTGGTCAGGTAGTCAGCTGCCATCTCGGACGTGGGACAGTATGACAGCTCGAGCCTTCCCTTCTCGATCTCGTCCTTCACGAAGAAATATCGCAGGGCGATGTGTTTCGTCCTGTTCGCGAAGCCGTTCTTGTTGGCGATGCGAATTGCCGACTGGTTATCGCAGAACAGGGTAAAGTTGGGTAATTCGGCTAACTTCGCTTCTTCCAGCAGCTCGCGAAGATAGAGTCCTTCCTTGGTGGCTGAGCAGAGTGCAATATATTCTGCTTCAGCTGACGAGAGAGCAATTAATTCCTGCTTGCTCGACTGCCAAGAGATAGGTCCGATAGGTTCGAGGCGGTAGATGTAGCCGGTGCGGGAGCGCCTATTGTCGGAGTCGCCAGCGTGATCAGCGTCGACGTAGCCGATTAACTTAGTCGGTGTGGTTGCGTTCTTGTAGTAAGTTAGGCCGATCGTTGGGGTGCTGACGAAGTAGTGAAGAGCGCGGTCGAGCTCCGCCAGATGTTCTGCTTCAGGCTTCTTGAGGTAGGTGGCGAGCTGGCTTGCGGAGTATGAGAGGTCGGGGCGACAGGTGACAGCTGCGAAGAGAAGATATCCCAGCTTCTTCTGGTAGTCTCGTATGCCGGCGGGCTTGAGTAGAGCGGAGCTTCCTTTGTCGTTCCCTGCCGTGTAGCGGTATGGCGTGGAGATGGCTGTCGGTGTGAGCGTAAAGCGTTTGGCGATGGTGTCGGCATATTTCTCGGCGCTGAGGTAGATCGCGTCCTCCTCTTCCCGGATGTTGAGGCCGAGGTACTGGGTGACGGTAGATGAAACTGTGAGCGTGAGATCTCGCTGCAGCTCCCCTTCGAACCAGGTAGTGATGCCGTCATTTGAGCCGATGTAAAGGAGATCGTCCACGTAGACGATTAGTAGGATGTAGTCGTCGTTTTTTGTGAGCCGGTACATGCCTTGATCGTGCGGTAGTTGCTTGAAGCCGATGCGGATGAGGCGAGCGTGCAGGTACTGTTGCCACAGTCGCGGAGCCTGCTTGATGCCGTAGAGTGACTTGAGTAGCTGGCAGACTTGGTTGGGTTCTCTGTGGGAGCCGTGCGGTAGCTCGACGAAAATTTCTGCATCAACAGGTGCGTAGAGAAACGCGTTCGCGACGTCAATTTGTCGCAGCTTCTTCTTCTTCATGGCGGCGATTGTGAGGAGAATGTGTAGTGAGGTGTGGCGGCTAACCGGAGCGAAGGTTTCGGTGAAGTCGCGTCCGTGTTCTTGGTCGAAGCCGCGTACAACCCAGCGAGCTTTAAATTTGTCAATGGTGCCGTCAGCCTTTGTCTTCACACGGAAGACCCACTTCCCGGTGAGCACTGTCTTGTTCCGTGCCACGCCGATAGGAACCACTTTCCACGTGTTGCGTTCCTCCAGTGCCTTCAGCTCCTTGTCCATGGCTTCGCGCCATTTTTCCTTATGCTCCCCCCCCAGAGCCTGTTGAACCGTCGCAGGCTCTTTAGGAATGGCGGTGCCGTGGACTGCGGTGACGAGTCCGAGAATTTGCAGTCCACTCTGTGAGTAGCGGGGAAGATTTGCGTCCTCGGGATAAGCTGCTTCATCTCCCGCTTCTGGATCAGGTATGAAGTTGGGTCCTACTCGTTCTGCTTCGTTGGTGTTGACTGTCGCAGGTGTTACGTAACCGTTGTCGGCGAAATAGTAGAAGGTTTCGGCGTTGAAATTTTCGCGAGGGTTATCTTCGTCCATGGGAACGTCGACGGAGCAGAACGGAAGAGGTCCGGCTTCTTCTGATGCGTTGTCCACATTCTGCTCGTCCCAGTCAGCTTCGTCCGCTGCTGAGGCGAAGGCTCGGTCACCGCGAAAACCACCTGTGGGATCCTGGTCTTCTTGCAGGTTGGCAAGGTATGTCTGGAGCGTGAGTCGTTCGTAGAAAATTACATCACGTGCTGCTACTGTTTCCTTGGAATGGACGTCGAAGATTTTCCACGCGTTGTAGTTCTTTTCGATTCCCAGGTGTAGTCCCCACTGTGCTCGTTGAGAAAATCGGCCCGCTCGTGCTGCTGGGGGTCGGTACTGTACCATGCATCCGAATACTCGTAACATTTTTGTGCTGCCCTGTTTCCCTGTCCATAGCAGATGCGGTGATGCGTTGTTTGGAAGCGATGATGACGAGAGCAAGTTGTGCAGCATGACGGCGTGGTCCATTGCCGCAGGCCACTGGTGGTTGGGTAGCCGCATGCCACGTAACAGTTTGCGCATGCTGTTCTGCAAGGTCCTGTTCATTCTTTCTGCTACACCTTGCTGCTGATGGGCGTAGGGAAGGGAGATGAGCCGCTTGATTCCCCTTTCCGCCAGGTACTGTTTGAATCGCTGAGAGGTGTATTCTCCTCCTCCGTCTGACTGGAAGCTTTTCAGTTTCACGCCCGATTCTCTCTCTGCTACTGGTAGCCAGGCAACGAAGGCTGCGAATGCCATGTCGCGGCTAGGGAGGTTTAGGTGCCAGACGTAACGGGTGGCGGCGTCGATGAAGGTGATTGTATAGTTGTATATTACTTGTCCTGGTTCCCGATTGTACAGGATGTCGCTATACACCTTCTCGAGTGGTGCGTACGCGGGTGCGCTCGGGTTGTGATGAGACGCAAACGGTCGATGTGGTAAGTCACCTTCAGGGCAGGTCAAGCACGTTCCGCGTACTCGTTGAAGTTCTCGTCCGTCGGTCAGTAGAAGTGAGTCCTTGTCGAGTACTCCTGCTCTTATCGTATTGTTTAATACTGTGTTGCTTGGGTGTCCCATCCTTGCGTGCCAGGTGCTTTCGTCGGCGCGATGTCCGGGTGATCGTCGGTACATATCGGAGTTGGAGTAGAAGTTGGCGGTGAAGTTGGCGCTACGATGAACTTCTTGTGGTGCTGGGTGTAGTTGTTGCGCGGGTGTCGGTGGTGTGTCGTCGATGAGGAGCGGTGTCGTTGAAGGACCAGCAATTGGTGTTGACGTTCCTGCTGCTGCCGTTGATGGTTCTGCTACTGCCGATGTTGTCTCTGCTGCTGCCGATGTTGTCTCTGCTGCTGCCGATGTTGACTCTGTTGCTCCCGATGTTGTCTCTGCTGCTGCCGATGTTGTCTCTGCTGCTGCCGATGTTGTCTCTGCTGCTGCCGATGTTGTCTCTGCTGCTGCCGATGTTGTCTCTGCTGCTGCTGATGTTGTCTGAATTGTTGCTAACGCCCTTGTTCTTTCTGCTTCAGGGATGGTGTGTGAATACCAGAAGCCTTCTGGACTGAAGTCTGGATCAAGGTCTGGAGGGTGTGTCCAGTTGGTGAAGTTAACGATGGCGTCGCTGTCGGTGGTGCCAAGATCAGGAACGAAATCAAGAACGAAGACGTTGTTCTTGAGGACCGCCTTGCCGATGTAAAGTCCTCCTCTCCCGTGATACAGCTTGAATTCTTGGGTGGTGCTGTCTGCTTCGAGGTGAATCCCTTTCGCCATTAGCTGACTGACGCTCAGTAAGTTGTAGCCGAGTCCCTCCGCGATTAGTACTTTTGACATCTGCAGTATAACGTTTGTTTCCCTTGACTTAAGTTGAACCACGCCTTGTCGTCGTGTTCGCAGGTTCTGATTGTTGGCGACTGTAATGACAACTTCGCGTTGAAGTTGGTGTTCTCGTTGAACGAAGCGTCCCGAGGAGCACATGTGCTGTCCGCAGCAACTGTCCAAGAACCATGTGTCCTTTCCAGATGGTTCGCTTTGGGCGATGGCGGCGTATGTCGGGTTCGGCTGAAGTGACTCGCGGCGGGGTGTGGTTTCGTCGAGTTGTTCTTCCGGTGAGTAGTGTGGTGGTGACTCGGTGATGCAGGAGTCACTCAGTTTTGCCATGCAGCTGACGATGTTTCTTGCTCCTTGTGCAGGTTGTCCCGTTGAAGTCGTTGAGGCTTGAATCTGGGTCGTGGGATTTGCTTGCGTTGAGGCGATTTGGCTGCTTGAAGGTTGAAGTTGCCGCTGTGGAGTTGTTGACTGTTGACGATTTGGGCAGTGCGTGCGCGGGTGTCCTGAAGTTTTGCAGATGTGGCAGAATGGAGGTAGTGGCTTCGGTTGTTGCTGCCGGTTGTTGTTGTTGTTGTAGCGTCGCTGAGTGTGGAACGCGAATTCCGGTGCTGATGTCTTCTTTTTGTGTCGTTCTTCTTGCAGGTCCATGTCTTGCTGCTCGGCGTGGATTTCGGCGCAGAGCGCTGCTTCGGAGATTCTTCCGTGAGCTCGGAGAATGGCCTTTGTGGCGCGCCATTGAGGACCGAGGCCGCCGATGATGACTGTCACGAAGGCGTCTTCAGAGATCGACCCTCCACATCGAAGAAGCTTGTCGCGCAACTCGCGACATCGACTGATATACGCCATTCCTTTCTCCCCTGGTTTCATTTCAACCGTTGTCAGTTGCGCCATTAACCGACTTTGGCTTACGCTGTCTGTTGCTTGATACAGGCTCTTCATGTGGTTGTACGCGAGCTCCGCGGAGTTGCCGTAACCTCGGTAAGACCTTATGTTCTGCTGTTGAGTCGGGGTGATATTCCTCAGTAGGATCGTGTACGCCATCATTGACTGATAGGTGTACTGCTGCTTCTCGTACTGTGTGCCGTTTGTTGGGTATGGCAGAGACCCGTCGAAGAACCCGAGTATCTGCGCGCCTTCCATCATCAGCTCGAACTCGAACGACCAGGTGAAGAAGTCCTTTCCATCGAAGGGTCTTGACGTCTGCATCTTCAGAACGTGTGCGAACTGCGACTGAACTTGTAATGCGTCCAGTGATTTTTCTTGTCCAGGTGAAGGCTGTGGGTGTGGCATAAAGCTGATGGACCCGCGCTCGTACGGAGCAAAGGTAGGCTGCTGTTGTTGATTTCCTCGTGCATATGATGAGCCGTCGAGACTCATGGGTGTTGCTCCGTTGTTGTTGCTGTTGTGTGACTGCGCAGGTGCCGATTGCTGGTGTTGCTCGTAGAAGGACATGAAGGAGAAAAACTTCTCCATCATGCTCTGGTCGAAGTCTGCAGGTTGATTCGCGGGAGTCTCGGTAGATGTTGCTCTGGGTCTTGTTGCTGTGCCCTCCTCTGTCTGTAGGCCAGAGGCAGGAGGTGGAGTAGGAGTAGTGCCCTGGGAGCCGTTGGAGTTGCTCCTTTCCTTTTGTGTAGCCATGCTTGTTGATGTTGTCGGTATAGAAGTTGAATTCCCCCTGATAGCTCTCATACCATGTTGGGCTGAAAAACCCTTAGGATCTTTGCAGGGGTGAACTCTGGGTAGAGTTGGTGTAGTAGCGGAAGCGTTAATTATAGAGTTGTGAACCACCTTGCGCTAGTATGTGAGGGCAAAGTAAGTTGATTAAAACAAAGAGATACAAGCTTTTATAAGAGTACAAGGAATACGAAGAGATACAGTTAATAACCGTTTTACTATTGCTGTTGCGGTTCGATACAGTGACGACTCGGGCAACTGCTCAATACCGAGTCAGTTGTTTGTCCTTGCTGTCGCGCTGTACTTTGTCAGGTCAAAGGTCGCTGACCTTTGACTTTCGCATAATCTCCAACAGGTACTTTCAACCTCCGAGGGTTGACTCGCCGGTGATTCGTTATACTTCGTTTCTTTTGTGTCTTAGTGTTTCGACACGACAGAGGCGCTTAGGACCGATTGTTTCCAACATCAACCAGAACAAATCCCACCAACCCATCCCATCCCACCAGCTGGGCCAGCAGCCCTCTCTAGTCCACCCACAATCTTCCGAACCTTCTCCCCACCAGCAGCAGCAGCCCCAACACCACACATAGGCTCATCCCCACCCATCCCACCAGCAGACCCTCCCCCATCCCCCTGATACATGCGGGAGTAGATCGGCAAGCATATTCACACTCTCTAATCCACCTCCTCGATCTTAGGACCCTTCTCGCCACCAGCAGCACCACCAGGACCAGCACCGCCCATCGGCTCATCACCACCCATCCCTCCTCCTCCCCCTCCCTGCTGATACATGCGGGAGAAGATCGGCGAACAAATCCCCTCCAGCTCCTTCTGCTTGTCCTCGAACTCATCCACCTCCGCCAGCTGGTTGTGATCCAGCCACTCGACGGTGCTGGTAACCGCATCCTCCACCTTCTTCTTGTCCCCTGCTGGGAGCTTGGAGCCCACGTTCTCATCCCTGATAATCACAGATGCAGGCGGGGGGGAAATAGTCAGAATGAGTGGCCAGCTAGTTGTGGTCCAGCCAGTCGACGGTGCTGGTAACCGCATCCTCCACCTTCTTCTTGTCCCCTGCTGGGAGCTTGGAGCCCACGTTCTCATCCCTGATAATCACAGATGCAGGCGGGGGGGAAATAGTCAGAATGAGTGGCCAGCTAGTTGTGGTCCAGCCAGTCGACGGTGCTGGTAACCACATCCTCCACCTTCTTCTTGTCCCCTGCTGGGAGCTTCGAGGCCACGTTCTCATCCCTGCCCATTACGGAAGCAAGAAGGGGGAACAATGTAAGAATACGAGTGGCCAGCTGGTTGTGGTCCAGCCAATCAACTCACCTCTTGCGCGACTCACGCCTTGAGCTGCTCCCAAGTCACGACCAAGTACCGGACAGACCACCGTACATACTCAAAACTCACCGGATGGTGTTCCTGATGTTGTACGTATAGTTCTCAAGAGCATTCTTCGCTTCAACCTTCTTCTTCACCCGCTCGTCCTCCTCCTTGTACCGCTCTGCTTTTCATATTCACTATCTCCCTCCCCCTTTCTCCTCACCTAACCTCTTCACCTGCTCATCCTCCTCGTACCGCTCTGCCTCCCGCACCAACCGCTCTATCTCCCCACTCCTTGCTCCCCACCAAACACAACTCAACTCCCTGAACAAGAATAAACTCACTGGATGCTGTTTGTGCGCTGCTCCCACTTGATTACACAGACCATAGTAGCTCTTAACTCACCGGATGGTGTTCCGAATGTTGAACGTGTAATTCTCGAGAGCATTCTTTGCCACAACTTTCTTCTTCACCTGCTCGACCTCCTCCTTGTACCGCTCTGCCTCCCCCACATCCCTCCTCCTTGTTTCCCAACAACATACCAAACCGACACTCCCACCCAATTACATGGAGCCCGACAACCAGAGAGCCCACATAATCACTCAACTCACCGGATGGTGTTCCTGATGTTGTATGTGTAATTTTCGAGAGCATTCTTTGCTTCGACCTTCTTCTTCACCTGCTCGTCCTCCTCCTTGTACCGCTCAGCTTCCTGCACCAACCGCTCTATATCCTCCTTGCTCAGCCTCCCCTTATCATTGGTGATCGTGATCTTATTCTTGTGCCCCGTCGTCTTATCCTCTGCACTAACATTCAAAATCCCATTCGCGTCAATGTCAAAAGTAACACTAATCTGCGGGATCCCCCGCGGCGCCGGCGGGATCCCCGACAGCTCGAATTTCCCCAGGAGATTGTTGTCCTTGGTCCGAGCCCGCTCCCCCTCGTACACCTGAATCAGCACCCCCGGCTGGTTATCCGCAAATGTCGAAAACACCTGCTCTTTCTTGGTCGGAATCGTCGTGTTTCGCGGGATCAGCACCGTCATCACCCCTCCGGCTGTCTCGAGACCGAGCGAAAGCGGAGTCACATCGAGCAGAAGCAAGTCTTGAACCCGCTCGCTGCCCTGACCGGTGAGAATTGCCGCTTGCACGGCTGCACCGTATGCGACGGCCTCGTCGGGGTTGATGCTTTTGCAGAGGTCCTTCCCGTGGAAGAGGTCTTGCAGCAGCTGCTGCACCTTGGGAATGCGGGTAGAACCGCCCACAAGAACCACATCGTGGATCTGCGATTTGCTGAGCTTGGCGTCTGCGAGGCACTTCTCCACCGGCTCCATGCTCTGGTGGGGTGGACAGGGGAAAGGGCAACGGGAATGTGGGTGGAGCTGCCGACCAGCACCACATCGTGGATTTGAGACTTGGTGAGCTTGGCATCAGAGAGGGATTTCTCCACCTCTGGTGTGGTGAGAGGGAGCATAACACAGGGTGTATAAAGGGGGGAAGGGGGAGGGGAGGTCCTGCAGCAGCCGCTGCACCTTGGGAATACGCGTGGAAGCACCAACTAGAACCACGCCGTGAATCGATCTCAATGGTCGATGCGCCGTGGAGGAGAGAGTACGCTTGGCCCTCTGGGAGGGTTTGAGCCTGGATTGCTAACCAAGGCACGTCGTACATTTCGAAACAGGTCCATGTTGTGCTCCTCAAAGCGTGCCCGAGTGGTGGTGCTGTAGAAGTCAATCCCTTGGTAGAGGAGAGCGTGCTCTTGGCGCGCTCGCAGGGGGAAGTGGCCCCAAACACCAGACCTTGGGGCACGGAGCCCTCTCATGCACCCAAGTCACATATCTTTCGAAACAGGTCCATGTAGAGCTCCTCAAAGCGTGCCCCTCAAAGCGTGCCCGAGTGATGGCGCCATGTGCTGTGGAAGTCGATTCCCTCGTACAGCGAGTCGATCTCGATGGCCGTCTGTGCCGTGGAGGCGAGCGTGCGCTTGGCTCATTCAGTAACAGCTTTCTCACCGTAACAGAGACGCGTACCTTCCTGAACAGGTCCATGTTCAGCTCCTCAAACCGCGCCCGAGTAATCGTGCTGTAGAAGTCGATTCCCTCGTAGAGAGAATCGATCTCGATGGTCGTCTGCGCCGTGGAGGAGAGGGTGCGCTTGGCTCGCTCGCAGGCGGTTTTGAGGCGCCGGATAGCGCGGGGGTTGCTGCTGATGTCCTTCTTGTGCTTGCGCTTGAACTCCTGTTGGTGGGGGAGGGGGGGTGTGGTGGGGATGAGGGAAGGGTGGGGGGATGACGGCAGGGTGGGTTGGGAGCAAGGGTGGTCACGCAGTTTTGAGGCAGCAGATGGCGCGGGGGTTGCTGCTGATATCCTTCTGGTGCTTGCGCTTGAACTTTCCACACCAACGAAGACCATCTCACCTGAAAGCCTTCTCTCACCTGAAAGCCTTCTCTCACCTGAAAGCCTTCTCTCACCTGAAAGCCTTCTCTCACCTGAAAGCCTTCTCTCACCTGAAAGCCTTCTCTCACCTGAAAGCCTTCTCTCACCTGAAAGCCTTCTCTCACCTGAAAGCCTTCTCTCACCTGCAGAAAGAAGCTGACGAGTCGGTTGTCAAGATCCTCCCCTCCCAAATTAGTATCCCTTGCCATTGCCTACAGCTCGAAAATCCCTCTTTCCTGTGCTGCTAGCACCATATGCAACCTTCTCTCACCTGCACGAAGAAGCTGACAAGTCGGTTGTCAAAGTCCTCCCCTCCCAAATGCGTATCCCCGCCGTCACCTTCATAGATTCAAGTCGCCGCCGAGCAACCTCACTTAGAATTCACCTCACCTGCAACCCCCCCCCCCCCCCCCCCCCCAGCTGCAACCTTCACTCACCTGCACAAAGAAGCTGACAAGCCGGTTGTCAAAATCCTCCCCTCCCAAATGGGTATCCCCCGCCGTTGCCTTCACCTCGAAAATCCCCTCCTCGATACTCAGAATCGACACATCAAACGTCCCGCCGCCCAGATCGAAAATCAGCACATTATTCTCGCCCTTGCGGTTTGCCTTCTTATCCAACCCATACGCGATAGCCGCCGCCGTCGGCTCGTTAATTATCCTCATTACATTCAGACCCGCTATAACGCCCGCGTCTTTCGTCGCCTGCCGCTGCGAGTCGTTGAAATAGGCCGGGACCGTCACCACCGCATCTTTAATCTTCTTTCCGAGAAACGTCTCGGCGATTTCCTTCATCTTGGTGAGAACCATCGAGGAAACTTCCTCGGGTGCAAATTGCTTGCGCTCGGCCTTGTATCGGACCTCTATCATGGGTTTGTCCCCGGGACCGGAAAAGACCTTGAACGGCCAGTGCTTCATGTCGGCTTGCACAGTAGGGTCCGAGAAACGCCGCCCGATGAGACGCTTGGCATCTGAAGCGCAACAGAAGGGGAGGGGAAGGGGGGGGGGGGAGAAGGGGGAGCGGAAGGGGGAGGGTAGAGAGGAAGAGAGGAAGAGAGAAAGGGAGGAGGCAGAGGGTAGTGAATCCCCCTTGTATCGGACCTCTATCATGGGTTTGTCCCCGGGGCCGGAAAAGACTTTGAATGGCCAGTGCTTCATGTCGGCCTGGACAGTAGGGTCCGAGAAACGCCGCCCGATGAGACGCTTGGCATCTGAAGGACAAGAAAGAAGAAGAGGAGAAAGAAGAGGGGGAGTGGGGGTGGGAGAGGCCGGGCAGGAAGGGAGCAGGAGGGAGGGGAGAGAGAGAAGGGGAAAGAGAGGAGAGAGGGGAGGTGAGGAGGAGGGGAAGAGGAGGATACTGGATCACCTTAGTATTACTGCCAGTTCAGTCTTTTGTACTGGACTTGTATCATGGGTTTGTTCCCGTCCCGGGGCCAGATAACACCTTGAAGGGCCAGTGCTCATGGGTGAGCGAGAGGAAGGGAGGAGTGGAAGGAGGGGGGGTGCAGGGAAGGGAGAGGGATGGTGGGGATGAGGACTAGTATCAGTCAAAACTTCTGTCGCCTGAAGAAGGAAGAACACAAATAAACGAACTGATCTGGAAACAAATTGTAGATGAAACTAATAATAGGCTGCTCTGAGCATCTCAGATTAGCTATCACCGGCACCACTTACCACCACACTTGAGAACCGGAAGGTAGACAAAGCATCGCGCCACTTGCCGGGTAAAAAATCACAGACTACCACTAAGCATCACCCTTACCGAAAACCGTATTGGTGGAATTCATAGCCACTTGGTTCTTAGCAGCGTCGCCAATCAGCCGCTCAGTGTCAGTGAAAGCTAGAAGCGACAGATAAACCTGCTGTAAGCACAACAAATACCAAACAAACTTACCAAACACCGTGTTGGTGGGGTTCATAGCCACTTGATTTTTAGCAGCGTCGCCAATCAGCCTCTCCGTGTCAGTGAATGCTACAAACGAGGGCGTGGTGCGGTTCCCCTGGTCATTCGCTATAATCTCAACCCGGTCATGCTGCCACACGCCCACGCAGCTGTACGTTGTGCCTAAATCGATGCCTATGGCCGTCTCGCCGCTCCCCGGCATGATGGCGTGACTGTATCGAACAGACCGTGGCAAAACGGACGGACGGAAGCGACTTGATGCTACAAACGGAGCTGCTAGTAAGGAAGATCAGGAGAAAGGCGTACTATCACGGTACAAGCGATTGTCCTCGGGAACTTCCCGTGGTCGAGAGCAAAAAAAGGTCGAGAGAGCGGAGACACAACAAACGAGCGAAGATCCCGTGGTCATACAAAAAGTCAGCCACGAAAGAACCAAGTATTCACGACACAGATAGAGAGAGAGGGCCCATGTCGCCCGAATCGCGCTAGGGATCTCGTGACTCGGGCCAGCAATCTTGCGACTCGGGCTAGCAATCTCGCGACTCGGACGAGCAATCTCCCTCGAAATCAAGAAGCCTCTCGAACAGTGTAGAAAGACTGCTGCATGTCATTGCGAAGGTCACGACAGGTCAGCAGCTTTCCGCGTCGCGCCGCTTGCGAACGAATCACGGTGGTGCCGAGGGATCGAGAAGGTTCGCCGACCAATCCGGGAGGTCCATTAGAGAAAGTATTCGTCGGAGCGATGTATTTTTCCTTCCAGAGTTATGTTGAAACCTCGTGCTGCGAAAACGATAGTACGCGCGTCGACGGCGTTCGAAAACGTCGTGCTCGAGACGAACGCCGTCGCGATTTTTCGCGAAGCTTCGAGCGAGTCATTTTCGACCTGCGCTCGGGGGCAGTGCATGCAAGCGTGATATGCATATACTCTGGCGGCTCGATCGAAACACATATGACAGCCTCCCACGTGGCGATCTGTCGTAACGGAAGAATCGCCAACAAAAGTGGATTCAAGTCGGTAAACGCTTTCGCATGCGCGCGGTCTATGTACCACTGGTGACGCGGCCTAGATTTAGCGCCCTACGATGCAACGTATGTGCAAGTTTTAGGGTGCGTTCCTGTGGAGACACTTGTGTCTCAAACCCTTTGTGACACCAGAAATCAGCATATGTCGTAGTGTGTCACAAACGCGGACCGCATTACTTCGATTCACACAGTATTTTACATTGGTTGGCGGGAATTGCGGGGGTGTCGCGGACGAGTTACATGAGGCCCCGTCACCTTGCGGAAATTGCACGCGTCCCGAAATGTCACCCTGTACTGCATGCACCTGGACAATCGAACAGGGCAATTTTCGAGCGGGAAAGGAAAACCGCCCTGCCCCTGCAGACAGATGACTGGTGGATGCGACCGTCATGACACATCCCTGCCCGACTTCCAACACACCATTCCAACTACGCAGACAGCACTCACCCGCCCCAGTCCATTCTTGTTCTACAAACCCCTGCTCTCTCTCCTTCCTGTTTCTTGTTCCTTCTTCCCAGCCGTAGCCATGGCCCGAAAGCGCAAGAGCGCCGCTAGCACTGCTGACTTGTGCCCGCGGGATCTCAACGAGATCCCGTACATCGCTTGGATGAACAAGCAGCTCGCGGCCGGCCGCAAGCCCGCCGGCCCCCTGCCCGATGGTGCGCCCGGTGCGGGAGACACCTCGTTCGAAGCCCCGCGTGACGTGCCTACCCGCGGACGCCCTCATGCCGACCGGGTTGCATCATCCCGCGTCGTGGACGACGAGGCCTTCGACGACGATCCTGATTTCAATGACTGCGACGAGGCGTACGACGACGACGCGGACTCTGGCGAGGAGCCGGACAAGGGCATGTCCCCCTCCGAGGACGAAGACGACGGCGACGAGGACGCTGAAGACGACGAGGACGTTCCCGAGGAGGCACAACCCACTACCCCGCCTACCCGTCGCGGCCGTGCGTCTACTGCGGCCGGAACCAAGACTGCCGCAAAGGGCGGAGAGCCTCCTCGTGGCGCGTCGAAGACGCGCAACCTGAACCCTGTCAGGCGGAGCGTGTGGTCTACCCGCGAGAGCACCATTTTCGTCGCAGCTCGTTGGTTCATGAAGGACGAGCTGGGCGCTCTCCTCGGCAAGCAGGGATCCCAGTACTGGGCCCGCCTCGTGCGTCATCTCGAGCAGGAGAACCCCGGGTGGGTCCGCGGCGTGAACGCACTGCAGAAGCAGTGGCGCAACCTCGTTAACGTGTACAAGCAGATCAAGAAGGGGGAGAAGGCGAGCGGCAAGGGGGCGGTGTGCAAGCCTCCATGGTACCCGTACATGGCGCTATTCCAGAACAACAAGGCTGTTGGTAACCCACACGCTGTCGACGGTGGTGGCGCGGCTCACGTCAACGTGCCGTGCGGTTTCGCGGTCCCGTCGCCATCAGCACCATGCACATCTTCTCCGACTTTCACCGATGAGTTTGCAACAACTCTGATGTTCGGACCTTTACGTTTTGGTGTGGCACTTGTGCAACTTTGTTTTAGGGTAGGGAAGAAATGTGACGTAATATCACACACTAGTCAGCTACTGATACAACTCTACGTGGCTCACGTGTGCAGCACCAACGCCGCAGGGGACGCCTACGTCGAAGCGCCCACGGGTGGTGGAGACCGCAACGGTGGCCGCCGCCAAGCTGGTGTGTGACACAATCAAGGGCTGCCACTCCGACGCGATGAATCGTATCGAAGTCCTCGTCCGCGCATGGATGGAGCAGGATGCGCGGATTGCACGCGAACGCGTGCAGCAGCCCGCCCCCTTCCCGCCTGCCCACGACGGCATCTCTGGGCATGCGACGCCCGCCGCCGAAGGAGGCGACGACGGCTGGCTCCGCCGCGGGCAGGCGGCCGACAACGCCTCTAACCCTGATGCGGGCGAGGATGTGTGGGTTCGCGGCGCCGACGAGTGAGGTAAGACGACTCCAGAGCCTCGCCCAACCGCTTGCGCCGTTCTCGCAAATTAGCCTGCGTGCACGGGTTGCACGGCTCCCACTTGAATTCGCTGACTGCACCACGAGTCCACCACGGGTCTCGGTTTCGGGGCAAGTTCGCCCACGACGCATTCACCCGCCTAACCGCTCCCATCGTTTCACACATGTTGTGCAGGACGACGCCACAAGACGCCCCTGCAAGAATGCGCCAGCGCACGCAATCATTGCGGCCCGCGAATAGACGCCACCGGCCCTTGAATGCGCCGATGCAACGCTCTACTGCCATGCGCGTAGCGCTTTGGCAGTAGTTGAAGCACTGCTCCCAGTCATCCATTAGGCCTTCACGGGGTGCATGTAGGGGGGTCAGGCAGAAGTCCCTGAGTGGGTAGGCAGCATCTCCCACAATTTGGTATGGCGCAATATCGCCGTTGTGCAACCTTTCGTGTAACGCGCTGTTCATGAACACCCTCTGATCGTGTGCACTGCCCGGGTATCCTACCAAGTAGTCCCAAATGATGCCGCGAGCATCGCATGTGATCTGCAGCTGCACGGCGTAGCATGACTTGCGCGTGTAGTACTCTTGCCTGTGCCCCTCCATCCCCTTCATGGGTATGTGTGTGCCGTCTATAGCCCCCACCACCGCAGGGACTCCCTTGATGGCGCGAAACTCCTCCGCCATCTCATCGAGGTCGTCACGGCTCGGGAAGTGGACCCACTGCTGCTTGAAGGCCGTCGGGAAGTGCATGAGGAGCGCATCTACCAGCGTGTGGCACAGCGTCTTGGACAGGCCGAAGACTGCCGACAGGTCTCGAAACGACATGCCGCTGGCCAGGTATTTGATAGCCACAAGGCATGCCACCTCGTGCGTGATCAAGTATCTGTCAACGTAGGGCTGCATGTAGTGCGCCATCCCGTTGACAATGTAGTCAAGAATTGCGCGGTTGATGCGAAACAAATCCCTGAATTCTTCCTCCCCCATGCCTTCCAGGTCCTCTAGCAGCAGCTGGTACCTGCGCCGACGAAGCCCTGACCTCCTTTTCCGCTCGGCGGTGAGGTTGGAGCCACGCGAGCTAGAAGCCGAGGACACTTCCTCGGTGAACACGTTCGCCTCCAGCAAGCCGCCGACAGATCTGGAGACGGCGTCCATGAAGATGCTGTAGTAGAACGTGACTCATGCGACGAGCAGCCGCATGAGGAAGGGCACGTCGCGAGGCTGTGCCATGGATGCTAGACTGGGAGGCACATTATGACTAGTGGGGTGGTGGTTTTGTACTTGTGCCAGTGTTTGCTGCTGTAGTTGAACACAAGCCTGTGTGTGTGTAGTGTTTCCGTGATGCCCGACTCGACCCATTTGCAACACCATCCACCGTGTCTAGACGCCGCCGCGACATTCATTGCGGGTTGCGCTTTTTTGGACTGGGATGCCCGGCGGGAAAACAGCAGCGGGGTCAATCCAAGTGGTCGCCACCAATAGAAAGCGCCCACCTGGCCGGTCCCATCTGTCGCTCAGAGTCGAGGTTCATTGGTTGTTTGAGACACAACATTTTGCAAATTTACAGGCGCGATCCGGGAAAACGGGGGTTGAGACACAAGTGTCTCCACAGGAACGTACCCTTAGAAGCAACCCATGCACCCGATTTCGTCATGTTTCACTACTGTGCTGGTGTTTTGTTACCCATGTAAAGCAGCTGAGTAGGAGTTTCAAAAACAGAAGTGGTCACAAAAAAAGGGAACTAATGATGCACTGTATCTCACCAATCTGTGGGGGTGGATAGGATATCCAAACGTACAGCAATGATTCCACCACCAGTCCACACTTGACTGACTACCCAAAATAACCCATGCGTGGCTTGGTATCAGGTACGAGAAGCACATACTGCTAAAGCCAGCTCAACTGAAGGCAATTAATTTAATCAGGTTACAAGAACTACTCCAGATGTGATGTATCGCATGAGAACCCTTTGTGCCCACATTCAAGCTGCTAGCCTATCATTCTCTGTGTCATAGGAGCTACAGTAGGCTTCTCCAAGGGATACCTTCCCTTGCCAGCAGTCGTTCTGCGCATAAGCTCACGAGACTCCTGGCAAAGAGCACATCCCAGGCACCAGGTGTGGATGCAGCAATCACACACCCTCTCGCAGAATGGATCCGGATCCCTGCAGCAGTATTTCGCCTCACTCTGTAAGCAAAAAGCAGGCCCAAGGAAGTTAGAGAAAAGTTATAAACACAGAGCGCGTCCAGCCATCCGTTTTTTTCCCCCCCCCCCGTTATCTATACAGCATTATCTATACTGATACTGTTGTGGACCCTGCTGAAACCGCACAAGACACGCACCTGAACACTCTATTTGTTTCGAATCGCTGTTCGTGTAGGCGATGTAAACAAGGGGATCAGATAGCCCGCATATCTAAACCCGTGTAACGCAGCAAACTCCACAACAAGAGCCAAGAGAAATAAGCTGCAGCAGCAGCCACAGCACACGCTCTCGTTGCCTGTCAGCATTTCCCGGTTGATGCCGAATAGCACACTCGGGCAAAACGAACCTATGCAACCTGGGAAGGAAAGAGAGGGACGTACGCAATGATTAGAATGAAGAAAACGAATCTAAGGAGCAAAAGCGAGCGGAAACAGAAAAGGAAAAGCCAACGATGGTTTCGTGTCCAATAAATGAAACAGGAGACGGGACGTACAGATTTTGCAATCATGGCCGCTCGCTGAATCGTTGTTGTCGAAGCAGCTGCACAGGCCCGTGTGCCACTCCGAAGGCCCCCCGTGCGAATACTCGCCATGGAATGGCGCCGTCACTGACGGTGCTGGCAGTATAGGGACGGCTTCGGGGTCACCCGGTGGGCCATTATGTGCAACGTGCTCAACAACCACACCATTCCGGTTGTACGTGTAGTAACCTGGGACAGAGGCTTCAGGCCTTATCTGAAACGAGCTGTACGATTCATGGCTCGCGGAACCTGAAGTCAGACTGGTCGTCTGCGTAGCGACACCCATTGTAGGGGTTTACGCTCCCCTACGGAAAACGGGGGCAAAACATCGGCACGACATCTGCTGTCATCGTATAAATATTGCAACAAAGCCCTTCTGCCGATCTCGGCCTAAGGGGGCTAGTGTGGTGAGGAAGACGGTCCGGGCCCGGGCATCCGTAACTGGGCCCCGTAATGGGGATCGCGGGGACGCTGCTTGCGGCGTCGTTGTCGCCCGCGGAATGCCGGCAAACGAATCTGGGGGGGTTGGCGAAAGGTCGTTCGTGAGGATTGCGCCAGAAAACCGATCTGATATGTTCATACGGGACAGGGCGAAAAACCACGGGCGAAGGCGGGCTCGCTTGCGCTCGCTCGCGGAAGCGAGAAAGGTCGTGAGATTGCGCCAGACTAAGTAACTCTCCCTCCACGTCAGCGGGCTATCTCTGCACAGTGGCATATTTCCTGGAACATCTTATCAACAGTGCCGCGCAAGCAGTTTACTACAATCCAGTGCACACGTAACAAGGCAAGGGGTGCTGGCACTGCTGGGCAGACGAGACGAGAGACCTCTTGTCGCGTGTTTGGAGATCTCTAGGGCTTGAGCCTTGGGTAGGGTTGTGCGAAACAACAATAGGCTAGAAAAATAACGAAAGCTGTACACATACCCTAGTATATTATGTCAAAACGCACAATGGTTCCCCCATGAAACCCCCAACTAATCCACTATTTACACTAACCCACATTTCCCCTCGAGCTTAAACACTTTCTAGAGTTTCCAGTATTTAGATCTTACCCTTACAACCGTAATGGTGAGTTCTGTAAGCAGGTTAAAACCCAGCAGATACTCTGGTAGCGACTTCATCTGCTCGCAGCGAATCAGCCATAGAAGCAGGGAAATCTCTCGGGCAGGCAGAAAACCTTTGAATTGTGAATCTCCAGGGTCCTAAGATTGGGCGGACAAGTGATATTTTTCTATCACTCCCTTCTTGACACTCACATCAAACAACCTTGGAATTCGCAGGGAAGCACAAGGTCCCTCGCTTTGACATGCAGGAAGAGAGGCATTTCAAAATTCTGGAAGACTTAGCGAGCTTGCAGCATTCAGAAGATTTGAGGATGAAATGACAGGCCTTGGCACTGGTGGGATCGGTTATTTGCGGCAGGGCCCATCCACCTTCCGGGACGTCAGGTTTGAGTGAGCGGTCAACCCTTCGCTCGATTCCACGAGCCAGGTTCAGTCCTCCAGCCTGTGCATCAGGTTCGGCAGAGCCCCGATCTCAGTGGTGGAGTTTATGGCTTGGAAGACTCTCAGGTTCGGAAAGAGGCAATCCGAGTCTGGGACGCTCGAGCAATTGACTTTCACCAGTTTGAGATGTGTGATTGTAGGGGAGGCCCAGAGGGACAGCCTGATGCTCTGCTTGTTATAAGGACGTCCGTGCAGCGTCAAAGACTCTAGAGCAGGAGGGAGAAACGACTGAAGAGTCTCGTCCTGCCGCCGCCGCTGCTCCCATGCCGCAACCTCTCTCCAGTCCCCCTCGGAAATGCACAGGTCTTTTAGACCTGTCAGATGCCACAGCCTAACCCTAGGCCTGGAGCTCAGGTTTGGAGCAGCCTCGGGCATATGGAGCCGCGTCAGGCTCGGCAGGTGCCTGAGGGATGGTGGATGGGTCCTCCATCGTCCCGAAGTGAGAGTCAACGAAGTCAACCGCTTCAAGCCCGCGAAACGAGGCTCGTCCGCAGTCTCACCCTCCTCCTCCCCATTGCCCACGTTGGCCCTCCTTGCTGCTGCTGCTGCCTTTGCTGCTACCGCGTATTCTCTGCTGCTGCACAGGTTCGTCCCTAGTTCCTCCAGCTGTTCGAGCTCCCATATCGAGTCCGGAAGCAACTGGATAAAGGTATCAGTGCTATGGTAGCTAAAGTTGCGTCGAATTCTCAAGCCGCAGTGAGGCCGGCAGGCCCATAGGTTGAGAGACAGCTTCCGAAGCGAGCGCTCCAACCCAAAAAACAGGTCCGGAGAGAGGTTCGGTGTTTCATCACGCCACCAGACCTCCGAGCTTATGTGAAGCTCTTGTAACACTTGCAGTTGCGAAAGCGGAGCAGAGGAGGCGAAGAAATTCTCGTTTGAGCAGGTCAGGTGAAGATGAAGTGAACGGAGGTGGGAGAGTGTGGAAGCAAAGGCGGTGGATGAGAATGAGGCAGAGAGGGGATGGTGAAGAGGTAGGGAGAGATGCAATAGTAGCCGCTGTTGTCGCTGATGCTTCGAGCCTGGTAGCAGTTCTGTGGGTAGGGGTGACTGACCCGTTGCACCTGTGAGTGGCACCGAGCCTGCCGAACCTGCCGAGCCTCCAGGGCTTCCCGAGCCTCCCGAGCCCTCCGAGCCTGCGGCCACCGCGGATGAAGAAATTGAGGGCACGGCGCCGTCTGCCGAGCCTGCAGATGGCGAAATTGCTGTTATCAAGTCTGGCAAGTCCTGAACCGCGGCGAATTGAACCATGTCCGCTTGCACGTGGAACGATTGGAGTCGCGGGCAGGAATCGAGAATTATGGCAAGGTGTTCAGTCAAGATGGCGTTAAACGCGGTGAGGTGGAATCCGAACGCAAATCCTTGGTGAAATTGGATCTGGATCCGGCAAATGCGGAGCGAGCGACACGTGGCAATCGCGGATAGCGCTTCACGCAGTTCGGGGAACGGACTTTCCTGGCCAGAAACATTTTTGACGTAGATTGGGATGTTGACGGACGTCAGATTCGGAAACCGTCTAATCGAGGCGCCAATCTGTTTTCCGTCCGGTGCCGGAGAGACACGCTGTTCAGCGATCTCCGACAAGAGAAGGTCCGATACAAGCGCCGGGGTGAACCAGGGGGTTTTGCTTGTAACGCGGACTTGATCATTTGGCGGCGTGAACAGTAACGGGTCGTCGTCTAAAATCCATAGTGGCACATTTCCCGAGTGCCACCCTGTAACGAAACTACATTTGCTGACGTCACGGAAGCAAGGCTCCCAGCGCGCGGTCCGAACGTTGTAAACAACCGAGAAGTCGCGAGTTCGATTCGCAAAGATGTCGCGCCACTCCTTGCAGACGGTGCTGAATGCGTGCGCATGTTCGGGTCGCTGCAGCTGCCGAAAAACACATTCGAGAACGTCGGCTGGTAGGGTTACTGATTTCTGCTG